AGAGCTTGTAAAGCACGCTCAGCAGGCATATTGGACGGTAGTTCCGAAGATTCTCCCTATCGCCCTTCTTATGAAGTAGGATTGTTTGGGAGGTTCTCCATTCGGGGATTTTTTCCCTTTGAAGATAAAACGTTAGATGCTTTGCAAGTATCTCGTGTGGGCAATGTCCTCCAGCTCGTAAGAGGTCGATAGAAACATGATCCGGTCCCGGAGTCGTGGCAGCCTTCATGGTCCGGATTGCGGCGCCTACTTCAACAGGCGGAATCCATGATGGTACTTCTACAGTGGGAATAACGAGGTTTGACATGGGTTGACGAGCGAAAAAATTGGTGTAGAATTTCTTTGTGATCCACTTCATCTTTTGTCGATCCCGTCTTCGTTTAACAATATTGTCAGCGAAATACAGTACGCGAGAAGGTCTCGGTGGATTTTCTTCAGGTTTTCCTTCCATGCGGATTCCAAAAGTTGCGATTGCCTGTTAATCTTCTTGCAAAGCTGTTCTACAACTCTGGTTAGCTACCAGCGCTTGAAACGTGATGCAGTCAGATCTAGCCTCAGTGCTTTTCTCCTTTGTAGGTCCTTGGTGGCTTTGGAAATGCGTTCCAAGTTCCTTGTTCGAGACAGTGAGGCACTTTCTCCACCGGCCCTCAGTCCTCTGAGAAACAAGTCATCGTTCATTGGGTCCTCCTCGCTGGGCCACTCGCAAGTGGTCAGGAGCTCCTCCAATCTGACACCGTCTTATACGACTCCTCTCCTTCCTCCAACATGGTGATCTCCATTTCCATTTCGGCTGAATCGCACTTTTGCTCCAGAGGCGGTGATCTTAACCACTGCTGAAGAATGGGACTACTGAGACGTCTAATAAGCACCACTTTCAGTTGGTGGGAATGTGGTCGATCTCCGCATGAGTCGTACTGCTGGGTGACTCCCATGTCCACCGTCGGTGTTCCCTCTTCAAGAAGATGGAGTTGCCATGAAAGGGTTGTGTGCCGGATAACTGAACATCAGACGGCAACCATTCATTTCGGACTCTTGATCCATATCTCGGGATACTGTGCTTCCCTTCTTCTGGCATCCCGACTTCCGCATTGAACACCCACAACGAACTTGTACAAGGAGTTTTCTTTGCGGATAACTTCCTCCAAAT